AAGGTGGAATGCATCAGTACACAAATTCAAGCTATATAACTGTAATAATTATATATAAAACAAATATAATAAATCATTGCATGAATATAGTAAATGTAATACATACAACCACTCTAGACAATGGTTTGGTAGTTTCATTTGTTTTTTTTGTTTTTTGGTAGTTTCTTTAAAAACTAAAATTATTGTACTTTAAAATCTAGCAGTTGCACTAGTAGACATTTATTGCTGAAAAATTTAAACTTAGATTTATATATAACCTGTTGATAATAATTAATGTTTATAATAGCAATTCATAAGAGCAAATTTGAAAACAATCGAGCACTCCTTCAAAGGCTGAATGGTTAAGCAAATCATGGTATATCTACTCCCTGGAATACTACTCAGTGAGGAAAAAGAACCTGCTGTTGGTATATACCATGACGTGCATAAACCTCCAAGGAGTTATGTAAAGTGAAGAAAGCTAGTCCCAAAAGGCCACACACCTTATGATTCCTTCATATAACATTCTTAAAGTGATAAAATTATAAAAATAGAAACCAAGTTAATGGTTACCAGAGATTACAGCTGGAGTGGAGTGGAAATCGAATGGAGGTACGTATAGCAAGGCAACATGAAGAGTCCTTGCAATGATTCAAGTGTCTGTATGTTGATCATATCTCTATCGATATGCTGTTTATGATATTGTGTTATAGTTTTTTTAAATATAACATTTTGGAAAACTTGGGGAAAGATATATGAAATTTCTGTAAATTATTGTCCTATAACTGACTCCAGTTTTCTCAAATAGTTGTGGAAATAAAAACTAGATCTTAAAATATCTTAAATTTACTCAACTCCTCAAATACAACTACTTTTTCTTTACCATGATTGAATTTGATAAATTGAAATGTTAAATACCTCACAAACAATTCAAAGAATTGGATTATGTTTTTTAGACTGAGAATCAATCATTCAATTGTTCTTCTAGTCCACCTGTAAAGTGTAATACTTCAAAGTACTACTTGAAATCTAAAACGTGTTCCACCTTTGAACACTGATGACATTTAGACATCATTCTTTATGATTTATACTATTTTTCCGTATGCAAGCTGGATGGAATTCTGCATCTTTCTTTCAAGTATTCTTCACATTAAATTGATATTTTGTTTTTTTAAAAATAAATAATTTAAATCTTCATTTACCTTCCGTCTGGTTAAAAGGCAATAGATACTCTGGTTCTTACAAAAATGGGGCAGGCATCAAACATTTCCGATGTCAGGCAATTTGGTTCCATTAGGGAATAATTATCTGATTTGGAGAGTTTTCCCTCACGTATTTCACAAGACAGGGAAAGCTTTATTCTGTAATTTTCTTTCCAACTTCTGCTCTTGAGAGTTCCTTAATTCATCCTTTTTATCAACTACTATTTCCTTTCTGTACTTTCACATGTATAACTTTTGGGTCCTTTCTGACTTGCTATGTTCTTTCTCAAAATTAAACAAATAGAAGAGACTTCTAGGACCCTATAAAATCAACTCAGAATATCCCTGAGAACATTCCAAGCCACAGATTTGATAACAGAAATGTTTGTGACTTCCAAGTAACTGGAACAAAATTTTGCACTGGATAGGGCAAAGAATAAGAGATTTATTTTTTCCATACAGTTTTATCAGTAGGGTAAATATCAAAGTAGGTACCAAAGGATATCTGAGGAAAATATATTTATATAATGCCAAAACACATTTTAGTCTTTAGTTTTAGACCAATACCTTGAAAAATATTGCTTGTGTTTTGAATGTATCTCTTGGGGCCACTTTTGGTTTTTCATGTGCTTTAAATGTGGGAGTGGAGTGTACAATGTACGTTTGACATTCAGAGTAGCACATCTCCTGTAGAAGAACTGACGATGCCTTTCCAAAGGAAAGAAAGGGAGCTTGACAAGTTTGCTTAAGGACTATAGTACTAGACAAAAATTTATATCGGTATCAAACTGATGTAACTCTAAAGGGTTTTCACTCTCCACCTTCCTTTTAGGAGAGACATTTGTCAGCTTAAAATTAATTACAAAAATGTGAAACAAATCAAAAGACAAAACAAATGAGGCTGTTAAGACAAACATTAAAAATCAAATTATGCTCTCAAAATAGGCAATTTACAGCTTGGAAGGGCAGCTGGCTAACCTGAAATGCATACAAATAGTTGAAATTACCGAGGCAAGTGGTGTATTACCTGTTGGAGGGTGTAATTTGACAACGACCCTTGAAAGAGGATAGATATTCTATCATTTTTCATGATTTAACAGCAAAAGATGGCCTAGCACTCTGTCTAAAAAAGACCGAAGGAGGATTAAATTGAAGAAAGAGCCTTAGCCGAAAAGAGAAACGAGTGTTAAAGGTATATATGTCAGGGAGAGGCATAGATTGGTTTTAAAGTTTTACAGTCCTATGTTAAATGAACAGTCTCTCCAGAGGCAACTACTCGCCACAATGTTTCAGTAGATCATTTAAATAGGTTTAACTTACTGATTTTGTAAAGGAGGACGTAACGCAGCTGACTTGATAGCTGAATGATCAAATATGGTGTTTAGGATCATCTCAGAGATAAAGTTCACTGGACATTTACACATTTCCTCACCAAATCCTGTTTCAGATTCTAAAACAAAGGAATCGCTCTTTGCGTGTTTAGAAATCTTTATATTGTCAGTATATTCCTTTGCATATTGGAAAAAATATTCACTTGAAACGACAAAATTTCCTGTTTTGACAGCAGTGATACGGGGCAGGAGGCAGCAGCCAAAGTTGGCACTGAACAGAATGTTAAATGGCAGGAGAGGGTCATATGTCTCTGCTAGATGTTATTTTCCCTGTGGTTGTTCATCTTTCCTATCAGTTATAGTCCATTATTATCCTCTACCTGTACACTTCTGCCTGTGATGTTCCCTTAACTGCACTCTTTGGTAATCCTTTCACAGAACAAGCATGCTCTTGGCGTGCAGACAGATGTAAGCACATCCAGAGCCTCTCAGCTTAGGTATATAGATTATCCTTTCTCCCCTAAATTGATTTAATATCAGAGTTTTTAGCAACTCAAAGACAAAAAGATATACACTGAACAATATTTGAATGGCAGCATAAATTCAAGAATCACATTAATATATATTTTGTTAAGGTGTAAGATAATTGCTGGTAACAAGTCTATAATAAGTTTGGGTTGGTCATCAAAGAGTTTGATAGCCGGGCGTGGTGGCTCATGCCTGTAATCTCAGAACTCTGGAGGCTGAGGCAGGAGCATCACTGTGAGTTTGAGACCAGCCTGGGCTACATAGTGAGTTCCAGGTCAGTCTTAACTACAGAGTGAGACCCTGACTCAACAAACAAACAAACAAACAAACAAACAAAAAAGAAAACAACAACAAAAAAAACCAGTTTGATAAATGTCCTGAAGTATATAATCAGCCTTAGAAATGGTTGAGCATAAGTGAATGAATAAATGAACACATAGTTTATTAGCATGTATGAATCACTTTTTAAATGCTATTGTCTGGACAAGTCATTCCAATCCCTTAACTATTGACTTCAAGTAATATTTTACTTAGAGTTCTCCAAGTTTTTGCCAGGGAGGCCCAGGGAGTCTATGAGATTTTATGCTTTTAAAAATGCTTTGGACTCCATAATTTTTAAGGTTCCTAACAGTGTCTGCAGAATGTTTGGTTTCTAGTTACCAATTATGATAAAAAGTGACCTGGTATATATGTGTGGAATGTTTTCCAGCCTTTCACGATCATTTTCCTCATTCATTCACTTTTGCTTCCTAGATCAATCTCAGACTATTTGAATATAAATTCCAGCATTAGGGTCTGCTTTGAGGACAACTCCAGAGGAGACATGGATGAAATATGAATTGTTGACATAACTCCCCTGGAGAGCTTCCATTTCTTGACAAAGGGGGCTCTGGGAATGAATTCATTCTTTGGAAACAAGTTGGATTCATAGAAACTTAGTGCCAAACTGAAGGAATCCACTTTAAATTTTATAGTATTGATTTCAGACAGAATTGAAGGCTGTTTATAAATTAAGATGCTGAAGATGTTTTATTCTTGCTGAAGCTTCTTTTTGAGGATATTCACAACAAACTGTATATACAACACTAAAATGGAAATTTGGTGACCTGGAAGCTTTAACATGTAGACGGTTGTTCGAAACATATACTTTGGTTATCACACACGTTTCAATATCTCATAATATCTGTTCCAAATATTGAATTCAAATCTCTCCCATTTTTAAAATAGGTATTAAAATATAAACTTCAGAATAAAATTTCATTTGGTATAAAAACTGTATTATCGCTTGTTTTATTCTCCTATTATTTCTAGATCACAAATAATGTTTTGAAATTTTACATATAAATTTCATAAAAGGCTTAAGTAATCTGGAAGGAATAGAATAGACTAATAAATAATGTATCAAACACATATTAAAGTACATACATATATGTAGCTACTTTCATGTGTAATACCTACTAAAACATAGTTTTTAATCTTTAAATTTTTTTGACTCCAATGTTATAGTTTCTATTTTGATGCTACTTAAAGAACAGAGTTGATTTATTGTGTAATATACCCATCGCAATAATACAAAGCCCTCACCAAATTTTCATTTCACCTATATCTTGTGGTTTTATTAAGATTATTGATTGTTTTGACTCTGGTTTTTGGTCAATATGCATTCTTTTCCTCTTTAGTTGAGTAACATTGTCTTTGGCAATTCATTCCTCAGTTTTTCCAATTATTTTTATGCACTTTAGGTTTACTCAATTAATTTCCCATGCTGTAAATTATCCATTTTGAGATTGTAATTTGTTTCTAATGTATGTCTTAACACTATGATTTGTTTCATGTTCACAATTAATTTGAGCTTTAAAAATAAAATGGCATGACAAATGGTTATGGGCAATGCCATTGCAATAGACTGCAAAGCTGAAATTTGTCACAGAGGCAAACTTTCTATTTTTTTGCTTTTAAGGACCGTCTTTACAGTTAAAAGTGCATGAGATTGCCTTGGCACTCCCAGAAGACAGCACCCCATTTTCACACTGAAGTAGCACCGCTCCTATCTAAGTGACTGCAATATGTGCTGTATCCTTATCTACTATGAGGAACAAACCACTCCAAGACTTAAATCTTTAAAACAATATCAATTAATTATTTTTCACAAGTCTCTGTGTCACATGGGCTTTTCTGTTGGTCTAAATGAGGCTGTTTGATCCTGACTAGGCCAGCTTTGTATTTGTGGCCAGTCGACAGGCCAGCTGGAAGGCTCTGCTTCTGGGCTTGGCTGGTTGTTGGTGGGGTGTTGGGGAACTGGGCCATATCTCTTAACATCCTGTGGCCTAGCTGGGGATTGCTCCTAGGGAAGGTGCAGGGCTGGAAGAGCAAGGAAGAAATTGTGAAAAACTGAAGAAATACGGAAATGAGTGTGGAGATTCCTCAACAAACTAGGATTAGAGGTCCCATCTGACCCAGCTGTTACTCTTTTGAGTATCTTCTGAAAGAATTAAAAATATCATACACAATGATTTATGTGCACCCATGTTTATAGCTGGACAATTTGTAATAGCTACATCTACGAAACAACTCAAATGCCTATCAACAGATGAATGGATAAAAAAATGTGTTCCATTTTTCCACATAATGAGGTACTATTCAGCCATAAAGGATAAGCTTGAGACATTTCTAGGTAAATGGATGCACCTAGAGATCATAGTCCTAAGTGAAATAAATTGAACACACATGAAAATATCACATTGTCTCTCTGGTGTTAGAAACTGAAAGTGAAAATAAGGGCCAAAAAGAATAAAATATATTGTGAAATGGGGAGAAATTGTTCAAAGTTATACAGAACACGAGATACTTTGCTAATACTTAAAATGTTTTAAGCAAAAAAAAAAAAAAGAAGTATAGTATTATTAGGAAATGAGCTGAGAGATTAGCAAATGAAAATACATTCTTTTTGGATCATGATGCACAGTGTATTTATCATTGTTATTCTCTAATCATTGTTTCTGAAAATTTGTTTTTTCATAGAATGGCTTTTATATTTTCTTTATTAATATCTACTTGTATTACAGTAAAATAAAAAAATTTAAATAAATAAAGTAAATTGCATAATATAGAGTAGGCTGTGTTGTGGGGGATGGAGGTAGGCTGTGTGTTAAACATTGCCCACGTCTTCTTGAATTCTCTGTATAATGCCCTCCCAAATGTCAGTGAAGGGAAAGCTATTTCAGGAGAGAAAAGAAAACATTTAGTTAATCAGAATGAGCACCTTAACCTGAGGTGTTGGTCAAAGGGGTGGAAGAAGTGATGGTTGATGGGAGAAATTAGAGCCATCTTCTAGAACAAGAATGGTAAACACTATGTGGTGACTTCACTGCGGATCAATGGACTGTTGACAAAACCATAGAATATTTCCAAGAAAATCTAGGGAAATAAAATGAAGAAATCTGGTAAATGTGTTTTTCTAGACCAAGGAATACTTATTAAGAACACTGAACTTTACAAAACATTGACTTTCCCAAATATTCATTTTGTGGTTATGGTTAAGCATAATGATAATGTTTTCTAATATAATTAATTTATGAAACATTAAATTAAATTTCTACAACAGTCCTTCACTTATAAACCATACCCACAGTCTCACATTTTGATATCAACCACAGTGATAGTAGTTTGAAAGGAAAATCATATATATTGTTTTGTCTCAAGAAGGAGCTCCTATTCCTAATTTTAAGGATAAAAGAAGTCCATGACTTAGAAACATAACCCAAATATTTACAGCATTCAATAATTTATAGTCACTTGCCAAACCTGTGATATTATTGTTTTTCAACCCACTCAATCACAGACAAAACAAAATCTAGAGAATATAACCATTTTGATACCTGAAAAGATCATAATGTATATTTGTTTCTACTTTTGCTTACTATGTTTATTAATAAACCTAAAAACCAAAAACTGTACTATAAGAAAATAAATACCTATTTAATCAATGAGAGCTTTATTTAAACATCTTTAAATTAATTTTAATGTGAAAATGTGATAGGTTGTTTATCAGACAAATAGTGATATATTTGGGTGCATTGACGGTGATTTTAGCAAGATCTATTTATTATGTTAATAACATTCTCAAGACTCCACTTGGAAAGATTTAAAAATAAGAAATGAAGGTAGGAGAAGGTGGGGGAGAGAGTAGGTATCTAATTTTAGCTCTTAGATGTACAATTTACAGTTTTATTTTGATAAAATGCCATCTTTGATATTCAACTTCTCTTTTAACAACAACTGAAGACAGTGTTCACTTTGCTATAATTCTTCTTACTTGCCTTATCTCTGTTATCTTTCTCTACCACACATTTATGTTAGGCAGCTTAGACTAACTACAAAATAGAAATACATTTCATAGCAGCTGCTACCATAATCCTAAAAATATATTTATTTCCCCTTCCTGAATTTCCAACCTTCTGGGCTTCTTTCCAGTGCTAAATTCTGTCGACTGGATTTACTAGGATGAGAAATCCAGTAAAGAGAGAAAGAGATACTGCATTTTAAGACAATTTCTTTCCTAAGTGCTCCAAAAGGTAATACTGGAATTTTATAAAACATATCTATTATCTTCCTCAAAGCTTTCCCTGAGTGATTGTCTTCCAGTTGTATCTTAGCCTTTTGTCTCCTTCCTTGACACTATTTAATCATTGAGCTCATTGGAAAGAGTACATTCAGAGCTAGAGAGCTGAGGGCATCTTGCAACAAGGCAGATATGAACAATAACAACACTTACACTTGCTGTATGCTAAGTTGAGATCCCAGTAATTTTCATACAAGGGAAAACCTTCTGTCCAGGAATGGCTTGGATTCTCCTGGATCCTAATGTTATGTTACTATAGCTAGAGAATTCCTTTATTTTTCCAAAATAGCAAATGTCTTACTAGTTACCTAATAATGATGAGACTCACATCCATCTCTTCCCAGCAGAAACCTTTTCCCCATGGTGCATATCCTTGTTCAAGTACTGTTTAGTGGCCTTAATTGATCTTTATATAATTGACAATTAAACTCTTATTATCCAAATTTCTTTTTTTTTCTTCTCCTCTCCCATCAGTTAATCTGAGCTTTTTTTTTCTGTTAGAGGACAATAAGGAAAAAAATATTTTTCAGCTCTATTTCTTCACTGGCAAGCGAGCATTGGAGATACTGATCTTCAAAGACTGCCAAAAATTTGACCTAGTTACTGCTCCTTTCTGTGGCATCTTCCCGTGTGGTTAGTGGCACTTTGGAACACAAATTCACAGTCACCAGAAGTCAGGTTTGTCACTGTTGCAAAGCCACTGAATTCTGATCCAGAGTTTCACAAACTGGTGCGTGCGCACACACGTCTAGCCTGTCCCGATAGACGAAACAGGAGGAGACACAGAGTGCCAAGGAGGAGGAAACTAGGTCCTCAATAATCAGAAACAAAGAAGTAATTTTAGTGGGGACATTGAAGGACAGGAAATTGTAATCTTGGAGAAACCCTGTGTTCCAGCAGGATGACACTGTGAAATTTTTGTACTGCCAGTTATCACTAAGTGGTAGAAAACTGAAAAACAAATGAGTCATTTGGAGTATGTTCTTATTTTTTGTTTTTATATTTTAATGCATTTCAAGATGCAACAGCCTCATGTATTTTTCTTTTTCCTCACACTAACTTTCAAAATGATCCCTAGCTAGCAGATGGATGGATATGGAAACATCTACTTTATCTGTAGAAATCCGTTATGAAAAGGTGATTAAAATACATTCAACAAAGAATTCATGGTTTAAAATGGGAAAAACTTAACTCATTGCCAAAAAAAAAAAATTTGACTGTTAATAGGATGGTAAATATTTATTAGGCACTTGCACTTTCCTACTCTTTTTGCTCATTTAATTTCTACTGCCTGAAGTATTCTCCACCCACTATGTTCAGCTGAAGATCAAATCCAAATATGATCTATGTCTTGAAGCTTTTTCTAATTACCACTCTACCCTAGCCTCACCAGCCCTCCTATCTCCCTCTCAACAAAATCCCTTGACATTTTATTGCTACCATATTTTAAAGGCAACCCGCAGTGCCATTTTGAAATCTCCAACTTTGAGAGTTAGGCCTGTAATATTTACCTTTGTGTTGTTTTGTGGCTCAGTGACTCTAGTAGGGACTCTAAAAAATCCAGGGTTGAATTTACAAATTAATGTCTCATTTCTAGTTTTCTAGCAATTTACTGAAAAACACATACTTAAAATAGAATACGTATTTTCCTTGTAAACAGGTTACCGTTTGCATTTTCAGTGAGTCCAGGGCTGAAGGAATTGTGACAGAAAATGAAGCCTTTAGTGGATTCAGAATGAACCTACTAATAGCTTTTCAAATAATTCATTCTGCAGGAGCTACATTAAGTAACAAGGAAGTCAGGAATTTTTGAACAAGATATAACAGGTGATTTGATGCCTGATTGACTGGAATGAATAACTTCCAGGAAAGCTTAGCACAGAGACATGACTGCAAATGACAAAAGATGTCAACCTTCTTTCCTTTTTCACCCTGCTTGGGGTTGGTCATTTTTTACTGTTGTTTTGTTAGGGAATGTCCTTGGAACAATATAGATATCAATATTTGGAAATCTGGAAATTTTTAGCTTTTATTTGACCGTTGAAGTACTTGTACCATTTTTCAAATTGTGCAGAGGAAAATACAATAAGTTAGAGGACTAAAAAGTAAGTTAAAAGGCCAGTTTTGGAGAAGGGATAATAGAAACTACTTGGAATTAGAGTTTAAATATACAGTAAAAAACAGTTTAAATTTGGGCAAGTTGTTTTCAACTGAATGAATGATTGGATCTTCTTTAGGGTTTTATTCTTACATATGCTTTATGAGTTTCTGCAGTTCTTATATGTTATAATGAAATGCAGAAGTGATTAATAAGACTAATAACATCTCTACTGTATTCTGCATCTTCTTAGACTTCTTTGTCTAGAAAGCGTACACCTTTTTGCCTTG